CTTGAAGACCTTGACGATTCTTTCTCCTTCTCTTATTTTCTCCTCTTATTTTCTCTTCTCTCAAAACCCTAACTTACTTTTCAAAAGCGTAAACTAACCAAGTTCAGTTTAGACCCCAATTAAACTCCTAAAAATGAAATAAAGTAATTTGGTAAGGAAAAGATCAAACTACCCTTAAAAAATCTGGAATACACTTTCCTTATTTGAACAACCCAACTTCCAATGGGTATATCTCACTCATACAAACTCAGAATCGTGCAAACTCGGAGGAGTTGGAAATATAATTTCAAGATATTTCCTATAGTATCTGGAAGCACACCTAACTCATCCTGATCTAGGAGTTATGATCGTTTGAAGTTGACCAAAAACCCAAACTTAACTTAACAAATTTCCAGATTTTTCATTCTTTCCTAAATGACTAATTCCAATTCTAACTCCTTATAATTCTTTCAATTAGCGAGATGTTACAATATCTCCCCCTTGGGAACATTCGTCCTCGAATGAGATTACTCTTACTAGGCTAAGGGTGTAACATCTAACATTTAGCTCAAACACCCAACAAGCAATGCATAAACAACATGCTAACTTATAAATTAAAGAGTACTAAGTAGAGAATTAGTACCTTGATCTGGAATTTCTCCAGTTTCAAAGAGATGTGGATACCTCTTCTTCATATCTTCTTCCGCTTCCCAAGTAACTTCCTCAACAAAATGGTTCCTCCAAAGAACTTTGATTGATGCTACTTCCTTAGTCCTCAACTTGCAAACTTGACGATCTAGAATTTGAAGCAGAATTTCCTCATAAGATAAGTTATCCTTGATACCAATATCTTCAGTTGGTATGATAAGTGAAGGATCTCTCATGCATTTCTTCAGCATGGAAATATGAAATACCGGATGAACCGCTGCTAACTCTTGTGGTAGCTCTAACTCATAAGCTACATTACCAACCCTTTTGGATATTCTGTAAGGGCTAATATATCGGGGACTAAGCTTTCCCTTCTTACCAAACCTTATAACACCCTTAATGGGTGAAACTTTCAAGTGTACCCAATCATCTACTTTAAACTCTAACTCCCTTCTCTTAATATCATTGTAGGATTTCTGACGACTTTACACTATTTTCAACCTCTCTAGAATAACTTTCACTTTCTCCATAGCTTGATGAACTAAATCTGGTCCTATCAACCCTCCTCACCAACTTCAAACCATCCAATAGGAGATCTGCATCTTCTCCCATAAAGAGCTTCATAAAGAGCCATTTGGATGCTAGAGTGGTAGCTATTATTGTAAGTAAATTCAATAAGGGGTAGATGATCATCCCAATTATCTTTGAAATCAATCACACAAGCCTTCAACATGTTTTCTAAAGTCTGAATAGTACGCTCTGCTTTCCTAACTGTCTGAGGGTGAAAGGTAGTACTTAAGTTCACCTTTGAACCCAAGCCTTCTTGGAATGATTTCCAAAAATGTGCAGTAAATTGTGCACCTCTGTCTGAAATAATGGAGACCGGAACCCCATGAAGCCTTACTTCCTCTTGAATGTACAACTTAGCATAATCCTCTGCTGAATGGGTACTTTTTATCGGTAGAAAATGGATTGATTTTGTCATTCTATCGACAATCACTCAAATGGAATCGTGCTGCTTGGGAGACCTTGGTAAACCTGTGATGAAGTCCATATTGATCATCTCCCACTCCCATTCCAGAAGTTCTATATTCTGAGCCAAACCACCGGGCCTTTGATGCTTTACCTTAACTTGTTGGCAATTTGGATACTTGGCCACAAACTCTACAATGCCCTTCTTCATACTACTCCACCAATAAACTTCTCTCAAATTGCGATACATCCTTGTGGAACCCAGATGGACGAAATATCTGGAGCTATGATCTTCCTCCATGATCCTCTCTTGGAGTTCATCCACCCTTGGTACACACAATCTACCTTGATACCTCAATACACCATCTCCCCCTTGTTCAAAAGCCATTACTTTTTGCTTATGAACATTTGCCTTCAATTCAAGCAAAATTGGATCGTGATCCTGCTTCTTTTTTACTTCTGACACTAATGATGATTCAACCCCATTAATCACCACTACTCCTCATTCTGTGGAATCCATTAGTCGTAGTCCTAAGCGTGCAAGTCTGTGCACATCCTTTGCTAGTTCTTTCTTATCTTCCTCAAAGTGGGCTGTACTACCCATGGACAACCTACTTAAGGCATCAACAACAACATTATCCTTACCTGGGTGGTAAAGAATACTCATGTCATAATCCTTGAGCAATTCTAACCACCTCTTTTTTCTGAGATTAAGCTCTTTCTGAGTAAACACATACTGAAGACTCTTGTGATCGGTGAACACATCCACATGAACACCATAAAGACAATGGCGCCATATTTTCAAAGCAAAAACTATGGCAGCCAACTCTAGATCATGGGTTGGGTAGTTCCTCTCATGAACTTTCAGTTATCTAGAAGCATAAGCTATAACTTTGCCATTCTGCAATAATACACAACCCAAACCAACTCTAGACGCATCACAATAGACAACAAATCCTTGCATAACTTATGGTAAGGTCAAAACTGGGGCAGTAGTCAACCTCTTTTTCAATTCTTGAAAGTTTTTCTCACAAGCTCAGACCATTGAAACTTCACTGTTTTTTGAGTCAACTTGGTCAAAGGAGACAAAATAGATGAGAACCCCTTTATGAACCTTTTATAATAGCTAGCCAAATCCAAGAAACTCCTAATATCAGTTGGGGATGTGGGTCTAGGCCAATTCTGCACTTCCTCAATTTTCTGAGTATCAACTTTAATTCCCTCTCCAGACATAATGTGGCCTAAGAATGCCACAGACTCAAGCCAAAACTCACACGTAGAGAACTTGACATACAACTCTCTATCTTTTAGAGTCTGAAGAACTATTCTAAGATGACTAGCATAATCTTATTCATTCCTTGAATATATTAGTATGTCATCAATGAAAAGATAACAAACATATCTAAATAAGGTTTGAAATTCTATTCATAAGGTCCATGAATGTTGTAGACGCATTGGTCAAACCAACTGACATAACAAGAAACTCATAATGACCCTAACGGGTCTTGAATGCTGTCTTTGGAATATCACATTCCCTTACTTTGAACTAATGATAGCCTGATCTGAGATCTATCTTAGAGAAACAAGTAGCACCCTGAAGCTGATAGAAAAGATCATCAATTCTCAGAAGAGGATACTTATTCTTGATGGTAACCTTGTTTAACTGGCGGTAATCTATACACATCCTAAGGGAAACATCTTTCTTTCTGACAAATAAGAACACAGCACCCAAAGGTGTAACTTGAAAAATTTTAGATTTTGCTATTTCCAATTTAGTTCTTTTTTGAACTCAAGGTGCTACATCTAGTGAAATTAACACTAAAAAAAAATTTAAATTCCTTGGTAAAATCTCACTCACTACGATGACCGGTTCGAGTCCTAGTTCGAAAAATTTTCTGGGGTGTTATAATATTTGGTCGCGAAAATAATTTTTGAGGCAGAACGGTCCGTGACCGCTCCGCGACTCATGGAGAATTTTTCCCATTTTGAGGAATAGGTCCGCAATGCGGACCTGGTATCCAGATTCACCCGACTTTTTCCTTCTTCGTTTTCCAACCCCAATTCGCCTAAACTCGGTTCTTTTTCCCAAATTCTCTTTAAATTTAGATACCCAGAAAATGTACCCAAGAACCTAACTCAAAAGAACTCTAAAACTCAATGCGATCTCAAGAACTCCTCAATTCAGCCCAATTCAAGAACACATATCAAGAACATCAAACTTTCAACCATTTTTAAGATAAATTTTGTTGAACTAAACATGATTGGCGTGTGGGTGAATGAACCCAACGCTATGAAGGTCTCTCATACCTCATAGGGATCACCCCTTGACGAAATCCACAAGCGATTCTTGAAGAACCTGACGATTCTTGCTCCTTCTCCTCTTCTTTTCTCTACTCTCAAAACCCTAACTTAGTTTTCAAAAGCATAAACTGACCAAGTTCAATTTAGACCCCAATTAAACTCCTTAAAACGAAATAAAGTAATTTGGTAAGGAAAAGACCAAACTACCCTTCAAAAATCCGGATTACACTTTCCTTATCTGAACAACCCAACTTCCAATGGGAATATCTCACTCATACGAACTCGGAATCGTACAAACTCGGTGGCGTTCGAAATATAATTCCAAGATCTTTCCTAAGGTATCTAAAAGAACACCTAACTCATCCTGAGCTAGGAGTTATGGTCGTTTGAAGTTGACCAAAAACCCAAACTTAACTTAACAAATTTACAGATTTTTCATTCTTTCCTAAAATGACTATTTCTAATTCTAACTCCATCTAATTCTTTCAATTATCTAGATGTTACACTATCGAGGAGGATCATAATCTAGAAGAAGATCAACAAGATATGTTAAATGATGAATTTGATGTTGTGGACATGAATAATCATGAAATTGGAAAAGATGAAGTGCCGGACTTTGAGAGCAACAATCCTCCTACACCTATTGTTGCAACAACAATCTAACTTCTTCTCAATCATCATGTGTGAATAATGTTTAAGATGATGAAACCGATTTTTATAAGGTAATGACATTCAAGAACAAGGAAGAACTAGCAAATTCATTAAAAATTGCTTGCTTGAAAAAAGATTTTAGATTGAAAAAGGTGATCAATTTTCGTAATGTGTTTTCTTTTAAATGTTCATATCCGGAGTGCAATTGGTGGCTGAGGGCTGTGAAATTTAAAAGTAGCGACAGGTTTGTCATTAGAATCTATGAAAAGTACCATATGTGTAGTTCAGAGCATCTTACAAGCCATAATCCGCTTGCCACGACAAAACTCATAGGTAAGTACTTTGAAAATAGGTTTCCCAATGGTAAAGGCCCATCCACAAAAGAGATGTCAAATCAACTCTGCACATAATTGGGTTGTAAGGTAAGCTATTGGAAGATTTATAAGGGCATGGAGCATGCTAAGTCTTCGGTTAGGGGAACACATGATCACGGGTATGCAATGCTTAATGCGTACCGTTATATGCTTGAAGTTGCAAATCCAGGAAGCAAGACGACATTGTCACTCAATGAAAATGGGAGGTTCAAGTACTTCTTTGTATCATATGCCGCTTAGATAATTGGTTTTTAAGAAATGAGAAAAGTAATAGCCGTTGATGGGACATTCTTGAGGAACAAGTATGAAGGAGTTTTGCTATCGGCGGTGGAACAAGATGCTGAGAATCATATATTTCCAGTGGATTTGTGTGTTGTGGACAAGGAATGTGATGCCTCATATGAATATTTTTTTCAAAATATGAAAAGCTTTGTAGATGATACTGATGAGTTGTGCATTATTTCTGTTAGGCATCTAAGTATTCGAAAGATGGTTTTGACTATCTACCCTGCATCTCATTATGGTTGTTGCATGAGACACCTTGGGGAAAGTATTCGAAATAACTTTCACAATTCAAAGGTAGTGTCCCATTTTTATAAAGCAGCAAAGGCGTACGATAGATGTGAGTTCAATGACCATTTCAATCAAATAAGAAATTTGGTACCAAAGGCTGCTGAAACTCGTGAACGTATTGGATAACACACATGGAGCAGGGCATTTTGCCCGAGAAATAGGTACATTATTGTTTATACCATCTCGTTTGAGTTTATTGTAATTTTATGTGTTTTGATTGATTTTTATTTTTTGTTGTGTAGATATAACATTATGACATCAAACATCGCGGAGTCGGTGAATGTTATGTTTGATGTTGGAAGAGAATTTCCCATTGTCACTCTATGTGATGAAATAAATAAGAGATTTGCACTTTTATTTCACCAGAGGCGTATGGAGCTGGTGAACTCTGCAAATTGATTTGTTCCTTCAATTGAAAAAGGCATATCAAAGTATGTCAACGCGGGTAACAAGTTGTTGGCTCATCAAATCGCTAACTACAAGTTCAGTGTCACTGGTCATGGTGATGTTGCTACGGTGGATCTACAAAGAAGAACTTGTACTTGTAGATTTTTTGACTTGGACAAAATCCCTAGTCCACATGCCATGGAAGCGCTTCGATCCCAATATAGTGCCGATTTTGCAAATCAGATTTATGAGTATACCTCTCCATATTATTCAGTGGAAAAATACATAATTACATATTGTGAGCAAATTCATCCGGTGCCACCTAAAGATTCTTGGATTGTCCCTTTGGATACCATAGAGAGAGAAATACCTCCGCCATATGTTGATCCAAGAAAACCTGGAAGAAGGAGATATAAGAGACGGCGTGGAGTTGGTGAATCATTCCCAACAAGAAAAAATAAGTGTTTCGTATGTAAGGACTTTGGCCACAAAAGAACTATATGCCCAAATTGAAATGTTCCATAAGTATTGTTGAATTTTAATGAATGTTCTTTTTTATTTGAGGATGATGTTCCCTATCATTTTATCTTAATTTGAATCAACTTATGTTATGTTATGTTATTTATATAAAAATGTGTGATTTATTTTGAACTGATGCATCTGTTACAACATATGCATATTATGTGTTGCTACTTACAACAAAAAATTGCATATGTTCCAACATATAACAATTATGTGTTTAGATTTTACAACAGAATATTGCATATGTTCCAACATATGTCAATTATGTGTTACAAGTACAACAGAATAACGCATATGTTCCAACATATTTCTAATAAATAATTACGTATAAGGTGTGTGAACAATCAATCATTATTGTCATTGGAACAACTTTCAAGAAAAAAAATTAATTACAACTCTTCATATTTTACCATTTTTTCAAAAAAAAAAGTACTTGCATTTGAAAAGTAAAAAAATGTCTCTTCTCTTCTCTTCTTCTTCAGAAGTTGCAACTTTTCACATATTCATTACATTCCTGGGATTATACAAGGACACAACAGAAGATCCTTTCATTTAATTTTCTCCAAGATGGGAAGGAAGAATAAATCTTCAAAAATGAAAATGACTAGGAGTAAGAAAAACTACATTGAATCTCTTCCGAGGGAACTACTAATTGATATCGTTGAAAGGATTGCTTCCTACTCCTTGAAAGATTTAATGAATGTTAAATTAAGGTATGTATGTATTAATCAATTTTCGCTCTTTATTTTGATTTCCTAAACATTTGATTTGATTTCTCAGTTCCAAGGTCCTCAATTAAGTCGCTAATGAACCTTCTATATATCAAAAGGTAACATTGGTCAACTTTCCTTATTGTAGATGGTCGGTGAACCGTTGGTCAGAAGTTTGAAAATCCATTTCTTTCCTGGAAATGTGCAGAGCATCGGGAATTTAGAAGCCTTATACAAAAAAGGCATGGTAATTTTTAATGTTTTTCGTATGTATTCTCGTTTTTATCAAATGTATCATGCCTTTTAAATGTGTTATTTCTTCTGTAGTTTGATTTTTTCAACAATAATAATCCAAATTCATTGGGAATGATTAGTCAAGCAGCAGACGGTGACCACATTAGTGTATCCTATGTGCTTGCCCTAATTTCAATCTTCAAGGGCGGTGAATCCATGAGAGAAGGCTTAATGTTCATTGCAAACATGAAAAAAATGGAGCCACTAAAAATCAAAAGATGTCGACACAAGTTGCAATATGTTTTAGGTGGAATGTGGGTGCCAGAACCTCAATTGTTGGGAGAAAGACCCATTTGTTGCACTGTTCATCAACATGAGCAAAGCGTTCGCAAAAATGATTAGCTCGGGGAAAGTGACGATGAAGATGTTATTCGTTGTGAATTATGTAGTTGTGATTTAGAACTAGATTATGTAGTTAAATTTATGCCTTATACCATTGTGTGGTATTAATTAAATTGCCATTTGTGGCAACATATGTACATAACTTGCAAATTCATGGTGAAAAATGTGGCATTTTTGTATTTTGTACTCATTTTTGAATTTGTTCTTTATAAAATGTTTAATCTAAAAATATTTTTTTTCATAGTGTTCTCATTTTGACCATCCTTGAAATTAAGTACTTGCATTTGAAAAGTCAAAAGTGCCTCTTCGTCTTTAGAAGTTGTAATTTTTCACATTCATTATATTGGGATTATATAAGAAGAACACAACTTAGGTCCTTTCATTTAATTTTCTCCAAGATGGGAAGGAAATAGAAAAAATCTACAAAAATAACTAGGAGTAAAAACAAACTTCATTGAATCCCTCCCAAGGGAACTACTAATTCATATCGTTGAAAGGATTGCTTCCTACTCCTTCAAAGATTTAATGAATGTTAAATTAAGGTATGTATGTATTAATCAATTTTCGCTCTTTAATTTGATTTCCTGACCATTTGATTTGATTTCTCAGTTCTACGGTCCTCAATCAAGTCGGTAATGAACCTTTTGTGTATCAAAAGGTAACGTTGGGCGACTTTACTGGATATATATGGCCGTGTAACCCTTGGTCAGTTGTTCGAAAATGCACTTCTTTCCTGGAAATGTGCAGAGCATCGGAGAATTTAGAAGCCTTATATAGAAAAGGCGTGGTAATTTTTAATGTTTTTCACATGTATTCACATTTTTATCAATGTATTGTGCCTTTTAAATGTGTTATTTCTTCTGTAGTTTGATTAATTCAACCATAGCGATCCAAATGCATTGGGAATGATTAATCAAGCAACATACGGAGGTCACATTGGTGCATCATATGCGCTTGCCATAATTTCAATCTTCAAGGGTGGTGAATCTATGAGAGAAGGCTTATTGTTCATTGCCAACATGAGAAAAATGGAGCCACTAAAACTCAGAAGATGTCGATAGAAGTTGCGATATTTTTTAGGTGGAATATGGGTGCCAGAACCTCATTTGTTGCACTGTTCATCAATTCTATCACGTTCGTTGTGAATTATGTAGTTGTGATTTAGAACTAGATGAAGTATTTAAATTTCTGTCTTATACCGATGTGTGGTATTAATTAAATTGTTATGTGTGGCAACATATATACATTTCTTGCAAACTCATGGGGAAAAAATGACCTTTTTGTGTTTTGTATTGATTCTTGAATTTGTTCTTTATAAAATGTTTAATCTAAAAAAAATTAGTGTTCTCATTTTACAAAGACTATCATACCACTAGTTCAGCATACAATGACCAAGTAATTCCATATGATAGTTACATAACACCCTTATAAATCGTTGTTCCAAGTGTTATAGCATCTTTTTATTGCTTAATTATGGTCCAAAGTACTAAAATTTTGTCCAATTTGACATTTTTTCCATTGCTAAATCGCTCAATTTATCGATTAACCCATCCTTGAAGTGTCATATGAGGCAAAATATGCACGTTCTGTGGGATAAAATGTTGAATTTTCCAGCAGAAATTGCAACAAACATGTCATATGTGGCAACATATGTATATCCTAAAATGTATTTTTTGGGGTTAATTCAATTAAATTGTCACCTAATTCAACATGTAACGGATCATTCTAGAATACTACTACCCTCACTCCACTAACACACACTCCACTCACTCTCACTCATTATAAAAGGGTTAATACTTAGGTTAGGGTTCCCTTAATTCACAATTTACTAAAAAAATAGCTTTATTTTTTATTTTCTTTCCTTTATTCTTTCTCCTCTCCTCCTCTCACACTCAAATTTTCCTGAGAAGATGTTACCACCTTGGACAAATTTAAGTCTCCACATGCTATTGTTGTGGGTGATCAGCGTAATTATGTTGTTCTCAGTTAATATAATGTCTTCTTCAAGTGTGTTCTCAGTGCATGAGTGATGATCGTTGTTTGTTTTTGTAGGATCTTATCTAATGGAGGGTAGCTTTATCATTTGGTAAGTCTTCTTACTTTATATATAACATCATGTCTGGTCTGGTAACGGCGTGCATGGGGTAGCTAACTATGGTTGTTTGTTTTTCTGTAGGTGGTCTTGTGACAGAGTGCATGGGTAGCTTTGATCCACCACCCTTCAAGAAAGAATGGTGATGCCCCTCCAGGTTTAATCGCTCAATGTTGACTCCAGATCCTCCAGTTAAGTCCTTTTTTGCCGGTTGAAGTAGTAGTATATGGTTAGAGAGTTTCAGATGTAAATTTTGTTATTTTTGTTGGCATTAATGCCTTGTAAATATGGATAAGTAGCCTAGCCTTGCATGTCACTATATCAACTATCAATGGCATGTTTATGTTTATGTTTAATATTTCCCAGGTTATATGCTTGAATTCCTCTCTATTAATGGCGATACTACTTACATGTACACATAATTGACATATGTTGCAACAACTTAAAAACATAAGTACTTTATAAAAGTCATAGGCAAGCCCAACCTCTAAAACTGGCCCAATCAGCCCATTATTTCATTTCTAGAAGGGATATATTTATAAATTAGGGTTTTCATTTTCTTTCTCGCCGCTTCGCTTTCTCTCACTTCTCTCTCTCTCGCTCTCTTCGCATGGATCTCAGATCTCTAGAGTGCATGGGTTATAATGATGTTATTTATTTTATTAGTCCTTTTTGTCTATCTTTTTTGTTCTTTGGTTTTTAACATGTAACTAATTGATTGGCCTTTGGTTAAACCAAACCTCAACACTGTCATGTACTGTCAAATCAATGAAATCATTAATTTTACAATATAGTCGTTGGGTAAGAATGAGTTCTTTAAATATAGATCAGTACTCTAGATTTAATGAATGAGTTTTGTTTGTTTTTGTTACTTTTGATATAATGTCAAATGCAATGTTGAATCGAATTTGTAATGATGAAAATGATCCATGTTGGGTGTGAAAATCTGTTGCAAACATGGAGACTTACTTTCAATGCAAACTTCATGGTCGAAGGACAATCCAGGTCAAAGATTTTGGTCTTGTCCACACTATCGTGTATGTACATTTCTACATCTTAGTTTGGAGACTTCTCTTTATTTTGTTTTTTGTTAAAATTTAAATTTCTTTGTGGTGTGTATATTAGGAGAATGCATGCAACTTCTTTAGATGGAGGGATTGTGAAGATGTTGATATATGATCCAAGTTCGTTATTCTGAGATTGGGGAACAGAATTAAGGAGTTGAAAATTAATGATGAAAGTCATATTAAAAGAACTAACAAATGGGTGATGAAGGAGAAGAAGAAGACCAAATGTTGTAACAACTGGAAGCTAATCTTCGTGTTGTTTGTTGTGGTTTTTTATTCTATTTCTAAGCATTACCAAGAAGAAGAATATTGTGGAGGATGGAAAATTCTTATGTAGTTGTGTACAACCATTAAAATTATCATAGTTGTGGAAATAAATAAATGTAGTTTTGCACTCATGTTCCAACATTTTTACTTGTTCTAAACATAACATAATATGAGTCAAATGTTGCAATATATGAGTCTAATGTTGCTACATATCACCCATCTATAGTAACATGTGAGTCAAATGTTGCTACATATCACCCATCTATAGTAACATGTGACTCAAATGTTGCTACAAATGACCTATGAGTTGCTACATATGAGGCATATGTTGCTACAAATACCTCAAATGTTGCAACATATCACCCTTATGTAGCATTATTTGACCATTTGAGGCATATGTTGCTATAGATGACCCATGTGTTGCTTCATATGAGGCATATATATGTTGCTACAAATAACTTATTTGTTGCTACAGATGCCTCAAATGTTGCGACATATCACCCTTATGTATCAACGTTTGACCATTTGAGGCATATATTACTACAAATGACCCATATGTTGCTACACATGACTTATCTGTTGCGACATATCACCCTTATGTAACAACATTTCATTAAGTACTCGCTCTCAATATAACATCACATACTATGTACTTGCTCACAATATAAGATAACATAACATAACCGATAAAATAAAATATTGTCATTAATTACAAACACATTGTCAAGACTCCAAACTCCTAGATACTATCCCAGCAGCCCAAATCCATTGCATTCGACCAACTGTATTGTCACACAACAGGGTTTGGGGAGGTTGAATTGCTATCCTAGTAATTACATGCTCAATAAATGTATTCGAATATGACCCGCACACGGCTTTAATGTCATTTGTTACCATGGATTTCAATCAACCTTCAATTTCCCATAGTTCATTGAGGAACTTATCTAGCAAATGCTTCATTATTCAACTTTGCTTCAACAATTTTGGCAGCAACTCGAACACATGTTGTATAAATGTAAAAAATTTGTCATGCTCCATACCCATCAGAGAGAAGTCATAAACATTCATGCGACCCTCGTGCAAGAGGATCTCAAGAGTCACAAAATGAGTTTTGTTCAGGTTCATGACTATTAGAATCCTTTTTGCACCAATCCAATCCATGCCTCCAGGATATGGTCTAATGCCCCTGACGTAGTTAATCATATCTTCATCCCATTCAAACTCATTAATTAACTGTGTAAAGCTTTTGCCATCAACTGTTGTTGCCTCCTCGCTAATATTGTCATACCTTTTCTGAAGTTGGTATAGAAGTTCAGATCCAGGATTCTATCCGTGGAATCATAGTACTCAAGGTATCTCAAATGCCTCTCCCGCATGAGGCTAAGAATTTCATTAATATACTGAAATAAAAAATAATATTAAAGAGTAAAGAAGAGTAATCATTGAAAAGATAAAACAAACGAACATTATAAATTGAAGGTACTAGTAGAGAAAAATTACCCAGTCTTCCCACCAAATATTCATGCTTGTCATGGTCGTGAAATTATCTCCACTAAAAAAAATGTATGTCGTATTGTACACGCAAATCCTTTCCTCTCATCAGTTCCACTAGTTTGTTCATTTGAGCTATAGGTTGTGCTTATAAAGATTCGCATGCTTGAATTCCAACAATTTCTCTCCTACGGCCATTGGTAATTCTCCAAATATTTTCTTCTTCAAATTTTGTATTGCCTTGATAAAGGATTTTTTTCTCCTCTTGGCCTGTGGAGTATATGGATCCTGAACATTCTTTGATGGAATGACCTTGACCCCCTCTTGTTTTTAAATTCATTCACAGCCTGACTCATCCTGTTTCTTACACTTTTCACATAGAAAGCCAGAGCATCGACTACAAGAGGTAGCCTCAACACTTTGTACACCAACATTAGCACCAATATTAACACCAGCCTTTACAGCCGCATCAACCATATCATCCTCATTAAAAACAACTAACGGTTGATCATCAAGTCTTGCTCTTTTGATGGTTGTTGCTCCAAGAAATTTCTTGTTAACATTATCTACTACAAGATCAAATAAGGTTTCAACCAATCCTAGAGTAATCAGAGATGGCATTTGCAATTCCTTTTCTGCTTGGACAAGCCATGGATGCACAACCTAAAATTTAAAAATCAGTCATCCGTAGGAATATTTTGGTCAGATGTTGTAACAAATGTGTCATCTGAAATCTCTTGTTTTGCAGTAGTTACTTGATGCCTCAAATGAGGAATGACTTCAAATGCCCAAGCCTATAAAAAAGGAAAACATGTCACAAATCAAATGTTGAATTATTCAATAAAATATAAAAAGATTAAGAAAATTTATGTTTACCATGAATGCCCATGGAAAGTCAAATAAGTTATTGGTCTTTGGAGATAAAGGAGCCAACAAGTATTTGACAGTTAATTCGTAGTTGTCATGACCCCAAGGATAGTTGTTGAAAGCCTCAATATCCTCAGATAACTTCACCAATTTAAGGGCTATGTTGTTGTTGACATATTTGGCCAAAAGTACATTATGTACAAACCAAAGTAAGCACAATGACTCCTTGTGCTTCTTTGGTGTATCTTTGTCATTCAACAAATATATCAATTGAGGATTTTTTAAGCTTGGGCCAACAAAGGACACCAAGTCCTGCTCTTCAGTTGACTGCTCCTTACTTGTTTGTGCTTCTCCTTTCTTTCGTTTCCGTGGTTATTTTTTTACCATGAATTCAGGGATTTTATCGAAAGGAGAATGTCATTTTAACCCTATAACTATGTCAAACTCTCTTTTGCCAAAGAAGAGTGGCATGTCACAATAATTAATCAACACCGCATCCTTCTTTTAATTATTCTAAAAAATGAACCTTCATTTCAGCAGTTATAGACCATAGTCATATGAAACGTGCATTATATTTTTCTAGCAAATCAAGATATTGACCAAAACAACTATTCCTAAAAAAATCTTCCAAACCATTCTCCTTGAGTATGGTCCTGAATGAGTCGAAAGATTTTTTCATGGCTGGCCTTATAATGGTATCACCAGTAGCATTAGGCTGAAAATGAACATGAAAAGTGTGTGCATTGACAATTTTGATCCCATCATCCAAACCCTCAACTTCATTTTTTTCTTGTTCTTCCTCTTCAACTTCCTTCTTCTTCCTCAACTTCCTTTTTTTTACGTTCTTCTTCCTCAACTTCTTTTTTGTTTCCTTCTTCTTCCTCAACTTCATTTTTTTTCCTTCTTCTTCCTCAACCTATTTTTTTTCTTCTGCTCTTTTTCCTTCTCTTTCTTCATATTCTTTTTGAGAAAATTTTGGTTCTACTTGAGAAGAAGAAACTGCTTCAGATGCTAGTCAAGAGTGAAAGTCGATTTTTCATTCTTTTTCCTACAAGTTTTAGTCCTAGGCCTCTTCTGGATCTTTGTGTTAGTTATTTCATTTGTTAATACATTTGTCCTTTTGATAGGAGGAATTATATTTGTATTTGCAATCACAAAATAAAATATTTATTAACAAAGATAACAATAACCAAACCCAACAACACAACACACAACAACACAAACAACAAATACGATTCAATACCACACATGAACCAACCAACAAACCACAAAACCCTCCATAAACCCTAACCAACCAACTACAAATTAAGCTTTTTGAAATCAGATAATATTTCAAAAAGAATAACAACCCCAACCATCCTACAAACAAATAAGTGATAAACCACTAGAAATGTCTAGATTCAATACAAGTAAGTATTTCAAAACCCTAATTAAATTTTACCTGAGAAGTTATC